CAGGAATGCATTCTACTAGAATCTGATACATTCTTAATATCTCAATGTTGTCAGCTGTATTTTCTTAACTTCTGATATTCCTATATCCAGCATTCATGCTTGATCCATACTGTACTGCTTTATCATTACATTTTAAGCTAAATCTTTTGTACCTGCGCATTTGAAAACTTCTAGATAGCTCTTTCTTCTCAATATAAACACTTTTCTATTCTGAAGTATTTCAATGTTTCTTAGTCCTTTTCCACATTCTAAGGAACTGTTGAATATGAAGATATTACTAACTTAACAAGAAAAAGTAGTTTACTCAAGAATAATATCACAAATCATAACTTGTTTTTGTCCTACATGAATTTGAAGCATTTTTTTAGTGTTTCTATGAAAATATACTAGCTGAAAATTTGTCTCTGCCAAAGTCAGAAGTAAACTTTCAGTGACTTAGAATGGAGAGCTCTTGCCTTTGTGTTCATGAAAACTGAATGTTTTAGTGAGCAGTGACCTAATTATTTACTGCAGGACCTGTTCATGAACTCTGTATCTATTTTCTTTTTATCTAGGAAAGTAGACATGATGCCTTTGTACTCAATTCCAGAACCATGATAGACAAGCAGTAATCCATCTTTTGTTAAGATAAACAAAATTCATTTCTAAACAAAATTCTGTAAATACTACAAGGACTGATAGAGGTTGTTACTGTAAAATTGGCCTGGAAAATGAAATGGGATTACTTAATCATAACTAATCTTTTGGGTTTATGTTTTAATCTATTTGGGTTGTTTGCCAGTTACTCTTGGTGCAAACATCATTTTGGTACTATAAGGACATGATGTACACATACAGCATGGTACATCTGTTACTGCTCAAAATTATTTACGAAAAAATTATTTTCATGCAGCATGTCTTTTCGAATTGTATTAGAAGTTACAGTTTCCTTGGTTCAGTTAAAGTTGATTTATACTGTGATTAAAAGAGAAATGGCTTGGATTAACAAGTTTCTTTTATTTGCAATAAATATATACAGCTATAAGTATAAAGCTAACAGATTTCAATATTCTTATTGTAAATTGTAAGAAGTAACTGTAAAAAATATTCACAGGTACCACCTTAAAATTTGTAATTTAAAATCCTAAGTTGCAGTCTTAACTGTATGTTTTTAAGAAGTTATTGTACTTTTCTTGGCTAAACACAGCAATGCATTATTACGTTTTGAGTATGTTTTTAAAGGTCATTGATTTATTAATGTGCTTAACTCATTTTTAGGTTTGGTATGATATAATATCTATAGGAATTATTTTCTTTTTTTGTACGGCTGTTGCATTTTCAAATATTTCGTGCGTTTTCTAAAAGTAAACAGAATATTCTTTGGATTTTTTTAATAAAGTTCAACAATAACTTTGAAGATGTGTTGCTTTTCATTATCAACAAAAAAATCACTGTTCACTTCCAATAGCCTGCAAAATTGGACACCTCCCCTCCCCTCACAAGTAAAATACCACTTGCCACATCACGCAAAGCACCAGCTTTTGTGGCCGTTCATAGAAGAGGTTGCTGGTTCCCCTGAAAGTCATCAAGCATAAACTACTTTGGACTAAAGACTATAGAACTTGTTTTTGATAACAAAATTAGTTTCTAAATTCAGTTTGCAATTTACTTCTTGTAGCAACAGATTTGGGGCAAAAGAGCCCTTTACAGAAAGTTATTTTCCTACATACAATTAGGCCATCTTATAAGATTTACATTACTAGTTTATAATCAATCTGTTCAGCTTAGAATCTTGTTTAGTTAGTGAGCTGTAACACTGTGAAGGATAACTTTATCATGCTTGATATCTATTATGCCAATTTTTGTCTCAGGGGAACATCTCATAGCACTGCTTCCCAAATTTTATGAGGTAAAGTTTTATAATTTAAATTAAAACTAATAATATATGGATTTGTATGGCATCTTCCAAAAGAATAAAAAAATACATATTTCAGTTAATTGTGAATCAAGCATGGGAATAATTTCACGCACTGATGAAATTCAGCTTGTTCTAAGGTGAATAATGACAACAGTTTAATGGTGCATGGCTGTGCTAACAGTAAGAAACAGACATCATCTATTTGAAATGGCTAGAGAACTGTTTAGGGAAATTGTGACTGCCAGAGGTAGAATTATCCTAAATAAGGGGATTTACTTTCTAAAATTCCATATATCCCATTTTGGGGGTATATGTACACTTCTTGTTCACTTAATCTACCTGTTGCTGTAGGAGCAGCAGGGTATTGGGGAGTTGCTGTGGTTTTTAAGGTTGCATGTATGAATCGTGCTGTCTCTCACTAGTGGGTAACAATGCTTTTTGTGACTTGTATTTAAGGTGTGCCAAGTGGCAACTACTGGAAGGACGTTGCAAAGCTCAAAGATCTGTAAAAGGGGAAAGTGGTTGAATTGTGTGACAGTGGACAAACTTGGCAAAGAACATACCAGTCTTTTACCTGTATGAGAAGCTTTATGGCTCAGCTCACAGTGATGAAGCCAATGAGGAAAATTAACTCCTCTTCCATCAGAATGTGCTTCAGAATTTACACTATCTAGAAATCAGTAGGAAAAAGCCCTTTATACTAGTCAAGGGCAGAGCCACGGTAGGAACTTCAGTCTTTTTCCATTTTCTCATAAAGATGACGCTTTTACTGCTGGAGGGATAGTCTGTGAACACTCTTTGTGAGGCTTCTAATATTACAGTCTACCAGCTGCAACTTACAATGATAAATTGTTTTGAAGAATGGTTTAGAAAATCAACCCAGGAAAAATGCTGGATGGAGTAGTTTTGGGAAAGTTTAAAAAAAAAAAAATAGAAAAGGTGTATTTCAGAAACTGAAAATATAACCATTTCAAGTAGGGTTTTTTTCTGTTAAGCATTTTGTGATGGCTCTGATGGGAACAGAAGCCTGAAAGTAGTCCAAAGTGTTAGGATTGCGAGTCTCCAAGCATTGTATTGATCCAGCATTTCAGACCTCAGCTGAACACAAATGATCGTGTATTTTCCAGGCAGTCAGTACTCTGCATTGTTAGCAACCTTTTTTTATGCTCTAGAATGTGACGTTCACAGAGAAGGATACCGAAGAGAATGAAACTGAGCTTTTCTTCTCTGCAGGCTGATTTATATATGTAATGTGGATTATATACAATAGTTGCATAATCCCTGTCAGTAGTAGGGGCTGATACTGGTCCAACATTGTTTAACATCTTCATTTATGATCTGGACGATGGGTAAGGGTGCACCCTCAGCAAGTTTGCAGATGTTACAAAACTGTGAGGAGTGTTTGATACACCAGACGGGTGTTCCCATTCAGAGGGACCGTGACAAGGCTGGAGAAATGGGCCAGCAGGAACCTCATGAAGTTCAATGATTAACTGAACCAAGAGAACAGAACTGATATGACTTCCCTTTTCAAATCTTTACTCTAATTTTATATATTGTGATGCAAAAAGTTGACTTTTTCTAATATCCTCACAAGGTTTTAAAATTTAATGTAGCTATGCATAGAAATATGATTTTGGTATTTTAATGGTTTGTTTCAGTTGTAAAATTTGTATCTTTCTGATTGCTTGATTTTTCAGCAAATCATTTGGTTTGGGTAATGAAATATCAAACCAACTATTGCAACTGCACTGTTACTTCTAATTACACATTCAAAGAGTTTGCTGTTTTAGAAATTGTAAGAGTTCTACTTACCGCTTAATTTATTTTAGGTTCTGTGGTCTTTGGAATTGGGCCATTGGATCTCAGAGGAACCATATGAGCTTTCATCCAACTTCCCTGCAGCTCCTGTAAGTTTAATGGCCCTTTAAGCTTGTGAACTTTCTTTTGTTTATCTGGAAAATGATTGGCCCTCTAAATAGGTTTTGTGAACAAGAAGGCCTACTAGAAAAAATATTTTTTTAAAGCAAATACTGTAAGGAGTTATTTTCTCCTTCATCCACTACTTTTGAAGTGTGCGCAAAAACTTTCTTATGCATGGAAAATGCAAGAAATTGATTCACCAATTAACATCTGAATAAATTAGCTTATTTAAGTATAAATGTCCTTTAATTTATTTGTGGCATGTTTTATTTCTATCTGTGCTGGTATATAAACTGGAGAGGCATCTTATCGCCTAACGGAAAGATTATTCAGGTCATGGACTAAATATTTTCAGTCCAGAAATGACTTTGGCAATGGAAAATTACTGTGGGCTTCTAAAACTACCAAGTAGGTAAAATGAGGCATTTTTCCTGCTTTTAATGATCATTCTCAAGTACTGAATTGTGAACTAGTGCAAAAATGTGTATGTGGGGGCATGATGTATCTGTGCAGACCCAAGTGTATCTGCACTCTGTGTTGTAATTGATTAAACAGTCATTTTATTTTGGTTTTAAAACAAGTAGAATTCTAGAAGGTTACTAGTCAATCACTCTAATAGTTTTGCCAAAAAAGGTTTCACAATTTCTCTTATATTGTAGCAGCTAGTTAAATATATCATACAGGCTTTGAAGAAAGAACATTTAATGGGGTTTGAACTTTATTTTTACTATAATATTATTAACTATTAAGAACTTATTTTTAACATTCTTTCTAAATCTATAATTTATGTAAATTTAAATGTTCAAGATGAAGACTTTATTTCGTAAATTGTA